AAACATACAATTAAGGTTGGAAGGACGCTTTCAAATGAAAACAGTCATGAATTAATAAAAAATGTGTAGCATTTGGAGCGAAATATTGGGCAATCAATAAAGTTTGGATTTTGTAAAGTAATTCTTATTTAATTAGGAAACAGTGGAAATTATGTGAACGTCTCTGTTTTGTATTTGTTTTTGATTCAGTTATAAATATAGCAATATTTGCGGTATCGGAATTCGTCGTTATAACTGTTCAACCCAGCCAGTGAGTTCCTTGTAAAATAAGGTTAATCTACGATTATAAATGAAAATTAGCTCAATGAAAGTATTTATACACTTTGCATCGGTCGAATCTAGTACTGCTTCCGACAAAATCTCTCTACTATTTCCTAGTAAACCCAAAATAAAATTAAGCTTAATTGTTCTCTTTTTTTAATCGAGGAAAAAGTTGGAAAGTAAGTGATAAGAAAGCTCAGTGATGGCGAGTGAAGTACAATCACAAACAAATACAAAGCAAAATAAGTCAAATCTCTCTCCATTCAGTTTGTGGTCGTATACAAAAGACTCCACGCTCTGTTCGTTTCGGATATTTCAAACAAACTAGTATTCTTTAAATTTAGTCGCAAAGTCTCGTTTTTACCTTGATTCATTTGCCATAGTTGGGTTTTAATTTCCACGTTTTCGCACAACGTCAAACAAGGCTTCTAGACGTCCGCGCGTGAAGGGACAACGCCGTCTCAGAAATCTACTCATGCGCAGTACGTAACCGGAAGTAAAAAAAGTCCCACGTCGCCGTCGCCGTTGTCGGATCTTAAGGTCCCTATTCTGAACACTAAAACACGACGAGTTCGTGTAGTGTTGTTATATACCATAATCATGTCTAATTTTAGGTCCATAGCCTTTCAAGTCAGTAACTTGTAGCAAAGAGTGCTCATATTTATTTCATGTATATTAACGGGAAAAAACAAATGTTAATTTCTAGTCGTTACAACGACTACAGCAGGTCTCAGCTGAATCAATCCATT